AGGTCTGTACGAGTTTGAATCCACTTGGTGCCCATGAGTTTCCTTTGGTTTTGTCTTGAATTGGTTTAATGATACATTGCTCTTATATTATCTCTTTATGAAATTTTAATTTTAATTCTCTGGACTTGTAGTTGCTGTTTTCTTGTGTGCATTTAAAATTGTCTGTGTATTTTTCAACAAGTTTACAAATTGTAGTGCTTACCTGAATTATCCTGGAGTTTTGTACTACATCAGTTTCTAAAATTGCTGGATGGTCCTAAATAGAATTTTAAAAATCGTTTTATTGGGGGCTCATACAACTCATCAGAATCCATCCATCCACCCATTATGGCAAGCATATTTGCACATTTGTTGCCATCATCATTTTCAGAACATTTTCTTTCTACTTGAGTCCTTGGAATCAGCTCATTTTCCTCCTTCATCCCCCACTCTCTGCCCCCTCCCTCACCCTTGATAATTTATGACTTATAATTATTTTTTCAGGTCTTACACTGACCAATGTCTCCCTTCACACACTTTTCTGTTGTTGGTCCTTCAGGGAAGGGGTTTGTGTTAGACAGGGTTCTCTAGAGAGATAAAACCAAATTTCTGATAGGATGGCACAATAAACTATCTCAGGGTTATATATAGATCATTGTGATTGGCTCCCCCTTTCTCCCTGAACCTTTCCCTTGCCCTCCTGGAATCACTATTGGTCCCGAGGGGTTTATCTGTCTAGCTGGATTGGTAAGGTAGAATTGGGGTCATGATAGTGGGGGTGGGGTGGGGTGGACGAATCATTAAAGAACTAGAGGAAAATTGTATGTTTCATTGGTGCTATACTACACTCTGAGTAGCTCGTCTCCTCCCCGAGACCCTTCTGTGAGGGGATGTCCAGTTGCCTACAGATGGGCTTTGGGTCTCCAGTTTGCACTCCCTCTTATTCACAATGATATGATTTTTTGTTCTTTAATGCCGGATACCTGATTCTATTGACACCTCATTATCACACAGGCTGGTGTGCTTCTTCCATGTGGGCTTTGTTGTTTCTCAGCTAGATGGCTGCTTGTTTATATTCAAGCATTTAAGACCCCAGGTGCTATATCTCTTGATAGCTGGGTAACATCAGCTTTCTTCATCATATTTGCTTAGGCACCCACTTTGTCTTCAGCGATCATGTTGGGTAGGTGGGTAGTATGGAATGCTAGGTTAATAGAACAAAGTGTTCTTGCATTGAGGGAGTACTTGAGTGGAGGCCCAATGTCCAT